CATGTGGTGCTGGGGGATTGAACCGCGGTCCCTGATGCTTTGCCAAGCTTGTTCTAAGTAGGTGCCTTAGACCACTGAGCCATCTCTCCAGCCCCTATTGTTATTTTTTTAAAAATCACACATTGGCTTTACCAGAATCCCCATTTCTAGCAATGCCTTTATTATTATTGTCGTTGCTGTTATTATTATTCTTTATTTAGTCTAGGGTCTACAGGGTCTCACTACACAACTCAGACTCATAGTGATCCTCCTGTTTTCAGTCTCCCAAGCACTGGGATTACAGGCGCAGGACAAGCCCAGTCTCAGTTGCTGTCTCAGCACGCTCCAGTGGCGGGGCCAGCAGACATGACATTGGGGGTTGAACTCCAGTCCCTGGGCCTGTGTAAGCAGGCAATTTAGTCTGCTGAGCTGTGTGGCCGGCCCTTTCTACTAACTTCTTAATTTTGACCAGTAGTCTAAAATATTTCTATGAATATTAAGTTCAAGAAAGCAGCTGCAGGGTCAGAGGTTGATTGGGAAATGGGGGTGGAGGCTTGTCTGGCTTCAGAGTGTTCTTCCATGGTGGGTTCTAGTACACTCATGGCCTCTTAGCCAAATTCTTTGATCTAAACTGCACAACAACATCCAGAATCAAACTGGCCACCTTTTAAGTAATAATAATTTAAGAATTATTATTATTATTGTTATTATTTTGTAAGAAGCCAAGTTCTAACCAGCTGTAGTGTTTCCACCAGCACTCAGCAGGCTGAGGCAGGAGCACCATTGTGAGTTCCATGTTAGTTCAAGGTGAGACTAAACTACATAGTAAGCTTCTGTCTTCTAATACAGGGAAGAAAATGAAAAGTTTTGCCTCTTCATTCTAGAGAACATATTTTTGAAGAGCTAAGTAACATTTAACTGATATATAATTCTCTTATCATGAACAAAACCAAAGTGTTTAATGCAGTAAAAATTGAACAAGATCTTAAACTTTGATCAAGTTTAGAATTTATTCAGAAACCAGACTGCCCTGAAGACCATTATACACTACCAAGTGTTAATGTATCAGATTCTTCCAGTGTTATGTCCATGAAACTCCATTGTCCTCCTGCATGGATTCTGTTCAGGAAAGTTGAACAGATTTAGGAGGGGAGAGTCATATACTACAAAGATATACTCTTTGTAGAGGATCCACATTTGTAAGGAAGGGGAGGTAGGAAAAATAGTGTGATGAGTGACAGAATAAGGTGAGAGGAAAAGTCAGGGAAAATGATAGGAAGTAGAAGATTGTGCCCCAGCCAGTGGTCATTTAAAAGACACATAGAATGCTGGGAGTGAGAGGAGAGGCTGAAACAGCAGGTGGACTGGATTGTAAAGGATGCTGGAGTGATGCTCAACCCATTGGAATTATAGCTAGCATACTTAATGAAAGAGAGTGATTATTTCTAGGTTTTGTCAAAAGAAAACTATTACTTCATTTACAGTGCAATGAAGTATAAGAAAGGATAAGATACCAACAAGAAGTGCAAGAAATATCTCAGAACAGTAAGAGTAAGCAAATTCAAAGAGGTGAGTGTGTGCTGGGTGGAGGAGAACTTAGGGCCAGAGATGAATTTGAGGGTCTCATGCATGGCAAGGGAACTGTGGCACCGCTTCCCCAAGCTGGGTTGCTGAGGGTACAGGCAGAATGGTAGGCGAGTTTGGTGTTTGGCATCTTCATCAGGATGATTGATAAGTAATGGAAATAAAACCTGGTGGGCAGAAGAGACAGCTTTAAATAACTGACAGTTCTTAGCAGAGTCAAGAGAGTAGGAATTTCTGTGTTTCATGAGTCACTAAGAAATACTAAGTTGATAAATGATCTCAGCATAAAATTCTAGGGAAGGTAACTTTTCAGGGGACTGGTAGAAGAAGCTAGGGTAAAGGAAGAAGTCAGAGACATAGAGCAAAACAAGACTGACATGGGTAGAAGAAGGTTTAAGAAAATAAAACCTCTTAGAGTTGACACAAAGTAAATCATTGTGTGGAAGCCTATGTTTACTACTACTTTTCTTTTGTTGAATTTTATTTGTTTTGTGAGATAGAGGTCTTGCTATGTAATTAAAGCTACCCTTGAACTTACCTTTTATCTCAGGATTGTCCTCAACTTGGGAAGATCCTCCAGCTTTAGCTGCCCAAGGGCTGGGATTGCAGGTGTGCACCACCATGCCCATCAGGCTTATGTCAAGTTTTAGTATTTTAATGTTATGTGAATATATCTATATCTATACCTATATCTATATCTGTATCTGTATCTATATTCATATAACTGTTCTTCAAATTGCTATAATATTGGATATTTCTCAAATTTTTAAAAATTGCTAATCTATAAAAGTCAAAATTTTAAACTGTTCTTATATCCAGGTAAGAAAACTCAATGATAAATTCGATTAAAGTGCAAAAAGAGATTACTTTAAACAAGGCAAAAAAAGGAAAACTACCTTGTAGTTTGGGTGAACTGACAGTAAATGTATTCCCATGCATTTTTGCATGTTTTATGTACAAAAAATACTTTATTAAAATTTATAAGGCAGTGTATAGAAGTTAGATATTAGAATGTAGTGTTGACATCCACTTTGCCTATCTGAGTTATGTCCAAATACTCTCGATCATCTACACTCAGCTATTATTTGGAGCTGAAATGGGAGAAAATTAAGAGGAAATTCTTTACTTTGTGTGTATGGGCTCTTCACACATTGCACATGTCAGGCTGCAATCTATCATTGTGAGAGATGTAGGTCAAGATCTAGAGCCTTGTAGGAAAACATTATTCCCCTTGGCTGCAGTATTCTTTCTTACATCCAAGAGTAATAACATTTAAATTTGAAAGGATTAAAACAATAAATAAGTAAATGTGAAAAGACTGAGTGCTTAATGTGTTACTAATTGTAAAAAATAAAAGAAAGAACTTTGTGTTCTAATTAATTCTTGTGTCTTTTGCTAAATGTAAGCACTATGCCTGCAAACATAGAAATAACAATGAATCTTTAAACAATCCTAGAGCACAAACTCAACTTATAATGGAAATATCTGATTTATTTATTTATTTATTTATTTATTTTTGTTTGGCGTAACCAGGGATTGAACTCAAACACAGATGCTTATTCTACTGAGCCATCTCCCAGACCCAAAGTTGTTTTGTTTTGTTTTGTTTTCATTTTTAGGGAGGGGTCTACAGGGTGTTCAGGGTCTCACTACTATATTGGACTCAAAGTGATCCACCTGTTTACAGCCTCCTAAGAGCTGGGATTACAGGTGCTCACCACCGTGCCCAGTCTCCTAATGTATTTAATTTTTAAAATTTGTTTTTTTTTTTTTTTTTTTTTTTGTACAAGGTCTAACTACACAGCTCAGACTCATAGTCACCCTCCTGTATCAGCCTCTGCAGCACTGGCATTGCAGATGAGCACCACCATGCCCAGTTTGGGTGGCTGGCAGAGACACTGCATGTGTCACCAAGGATTGAACCCGAGACCTTGCTCTTGCCAGGCAGGTACGTAGACCACCGAGCTAACTCCCCAGCCAAGAAATATCTGATATACTTAATGATGTATCTATTTTCTTTTATAAATCAGTTTGCTACGTTTCCTAAGAGTGTACTTTGAGTGGATTTTCATGTACTTTGAGTGGATTTTTAGGGGCCACTCTTTACAAATTTACTGTCTTGAAAAACTTTCTTCTAGTTAAGTGGTTAATGTTATCACCTTCCACGTTTTATACTAATTTGTAATAAATTTTTATGATTCATTCTCTCACTTCTGGAACTCATGTATTGTCTCTATTCAGATTAAATCATTTAAATACACCTAGGTTTGCTATTAATTTTTGAGATAGAAAATGCTTGTTTTAGCTTTGTTTTGCTTTTTTAAAATATGTATAATTCAAAGTAATAATAAGAATTAAGCCTAGAAAGGTGAAGTTGTCATTTCTTGTACACTAAATAACAATATCATAGCTAAATGAAAAAGGGAGCTTTTCTATTTCTTTATTTTATTTATTTTTATTTTTTTCCATAATTTTATTGAGAAACAAATAGCAACGTAACAGTTTCAACCCAAATTG